CTTAATGTCTGGTCGCGAGGGAATACTGTTAGTTTTAATTTGTTTTCCCGAGAGAGTCTTAATGCTTGACGAGGCGAATCAGAATCGCTGGTCATACGTGCAGGGTAAAATTTTAATTTTTGGCTTAATATATTCTCAATACTCGTATTATTTAACTTTCCCAAAAGAAATGATTTAGCTTTTTTTTTTCTTGTGATGTCATCGTTTTTTAATTTTCATATGAAATATCTCGGCAATGAAAAGATATGCCAAATGTCATATGCCATTTTTATTTATTACACATCTAGGGTCAACATCCGTATAAAGCCGTGCAAAAATCATATCAGTGAAGTGCTACGATATCACTTCACGGCAAACTCGAAACTAGTACGTACATTTTGTCATAATTTTTATCGACCCTCAATGTGTAGGGTCGTTCGCGATATTAATATGGAAACTCATATCATTCTCTTAACATGTGATAATCTCAATCTTTTTTGCTTGGCATCCTGTATGGCTTATGTGAACTAGTACTTATGGTAAGGCTCGCTGCACTGCGTGAGCATGGCTTCAATTTAATGAGGTATGACAACTTATTCCCAAAACTGTTGGAGCTCAAAATTTTGGGCTTGTGTACCTATTATAAGATCAGCTGAAATCAAAATAAAACTCTAAGTTTTACAATATATAATTTTAAAAAAAGTATTGGATTATCTATTTTCACTTTTATTTTTGAAAAAATAGTAATTTCGCATATTTACAGGAGATTAAAATCTTAATGGAATGATGTTTGTCAAGAGTTGCCGAATCTATTATCCATAAGTTTTGCTTTGCCCATTTTTTTAAAAAAATTAACATTTCAAACTTAAATTAATAAAACTACAGGTTGGAGTGTAACACCCGTTTGAAGTTAATGTACACTTAATGAATCAGTTTCCGTTTGGAGATCGGCCAATCAATTTTTTGGAATCAACTTATTGCTTTGCCTGTGGTTAACACGTTAGGGGCTTTTTCTGCAAAGCAAAGTAGAACCAGTAGCTTTCAAGATCTCCTTACATGATGTTTTTATTTTAACCCGATTAGAAGACTTGCGTCGAAAATCGTTGCAGAATCGGCAATAACTACAGTTCGGTATCCTAAAGAAGCTATCCAGATACAAAATCAATCCTTTGACTAAAAGATGGTTTCAAATGATTTCCTGGAAAACAACTTGACGACGAGTTCGTCGTTACCATTGGCAGTAAACAATTCCAATTCTTCTCGAAGTTCCCTTGACAAACATTACATTAACATTTTGATTTCCTCCATTGTTATCAACGGCCTGGTTTCTACTATAGCGACGTTTCTAAACTGCTTGATCATCCTAACCTTTTTCAGGACATCGTCTCTTCGAGAAACACCCGCTAATGTTCTTATCCTTGGTCTGGCAATCGCTGACTTTGGTGTGGCCATTTTCTCGCAGCCAGCGTTTTGCATAGTACGCATTGCCAACTTGAGACAAGATTCGCTCTTATTTCGGTCTGCAGATACAGCTTTCGTAGCAAGCTTTTCTTTGTTTGGTTATGTTTCTTTAAGCACTTACACTTTAATCACAGTTGATCGATCGATTTTTGGCTGTTCGCCTTCACTTGCGATACAACGAGCTTATCACCACTAAACGATATGGTCAAGCACTGGCGGTAATTTGGGCTGGAAGTATTTTGTTCTGTTTGGGCCGAATGCTAAATAAAACCAAACTTTTGTTGTTTTTTGACGTTATTTTTCCAGTTTCAATGTGTGCATTGAACGTCATTTCCTTCTTTAAGATATCTCAAGTCATCCGCAAGCATTCCCAACAGATCCAAGCCCAACAGCAATCATTACAACAGTCTATAGACATGCCYAGATACAAGAAATCCGTCAACACCATGTACTATGTGATAGGTGCGTTTATGGTGTGTTATGCTCCGTTTGTCGGGATGCTAGTTGCATATAATATTTCCCAAGACTGGGAGGCAAAGCAAGAGATGTTTATAATAACAGAAACTATTTTRATGTTTAATGGARTATTAWWTCCAATCATATTCTGTATAAGAGTTGAAGAAATACGTGTCGCTATTCGTACTTTTTTGCAAAACATTTACTTGTATATGACCTGCATAATGATTAGATGTGTCTAATGTTTATAAGTATGTAAACGTGAGATACTATAAAAAATGCAAATACATATGATGAACAAAAGGCATATGTGCATGATTAAGAAATTGAGAAATATAGTTATTATATTCCCCTAATGTGCTGCATACGGTAAAAATTAATATCCATGAAAATGTTTTGGCATTCCGATTTCTTAAACTCAAATTTAATGATGATTTGTATCTGAAAAAAAAAGGTGCCCCGTGGTGGTTTTCAAGATATTCGCGATTAAACATAAACGTATCCGCAACAACTTTTGAAGGAGAAAAAAAAAAGAGGGACAAAATACGTCCCACGAAAAAAATTCAAAACGGGGCTGTGACAGGGCTGCCATGGTTACCGCGATTAATATGTGCCAAGCCACTCTCATCCCACCGAACTAGCACCTAACGCCAAGCTCATCTACTAGTGATGAGCTTACTTTATGGAAACCATAAATTATACATAATGTTAAGAATAGTGCAAACAATAAATCCGTGAAACACTATTTCACTAAATAGTACAAAATAGTGCTAATTAAACAATAGAATTTGCATGAAATTGTGCTATTTAGTGTTACTAAAGTTTCATGGTTATATTGTTTGCACTCTAGTGAATATTATTATTTTTTATTTGTATTATGACTATTGACATATTTATGACTATGATTATTCCGACAGATACCGGAAGTTGAAAAGTTATAATTTCGTTGATGCATTGAAAGTCAAAAAGTTATTCAGATTTTTTTTATGTATGCTTGTAAAACAGCGTTGTTAATTACTGAATTAAAATAACCATTGCATGATTTTTTAGTTAAACTGAAATACTGTTAATTCAAACCAATTTGCAAATATCGGTATGAATAAAATAAACAGAAAACACCATGAATTGAGTACTTTATACAGTTCGCTCGTTGTTTCGTATCATAAAACTCACTCGCTGGACTTTGAGCACTTCAGTTCCATGAAGTGTAATCTTTGTTACTGCATTACAAAAGTTGAAATTCTGTAAGATTGAGTATGTAACTAGAATGTTAAACAGGAATATCTATGTTGACATATTATTGATACGGAGACAAATTTTGAAAAAAGGAAAAGCAATATTGATTCTAGCAATGCAGTTTCTTCGTCACTTTAAGCCAACAGGAAGACCTACTATTTTCATATTCAAATAAAAATATTGTTTGTCTAGAGCAATGACCAAAAGGTTTTTTTACCTAGTAATTCATTTTGGCTAGCAAATATAGAAACCGCACCTGCCGCACCGATTCTGAAGTTTGCAAAATACTGGTATGTTGCAACAGAAAGCGTTCCCGGGCGTACATAAAAATATTTCCTGAAGTCAATAGCCTACTTCCGAGATACTTTGCTTGTCATACACAAAGGTTTCAATGTGTGGCGCTTCCTATAGTGATTCTCAGGGATGTAATATAATTCAGCACACGTTATTTACCTTGTACTGAAGCCTATTCTTTTCTCATACGTGACAAGCGATGCTATGGTTTGGCCGGGGAAGTTTCGTTAGGAGATCACAGATATATATTTTTAAGTAAAAGAAAAAGGAGAATTCCAGTCGTGTCAAGATGAACACCAGAAATTATGAAACGAACATGGAAAATTATGATAATATGTACTTTTTGACTGAGTGGGAGGGCCTTACGGGAAAATATTTGGCTCGAGATGATGCCGTACAAATGACCGAGAGCCAAATATTTTCTCGTACGGCCCGACCTAACTCAGTCAATAAGCATTTTAACATATGACCCTCACGAAAAGAAAATTAATAAAATAAATATGGTCGCGATTTCGAGCAGGGCCGTACGGATTTGTACGGCCCTGCTTACGCCATATTCCCGAAGGTTTTTTAAGAGCGCGCGCACGGGCAGATACGGGGCATATGATAAAATCTACTATCCTTGCATGTATTTCATTATGGACTAGATTTGTATATATAATAAGAAATATTAATGACGGTAATGCCACATCCATCCTAAAAAAATACATGAAGCCCATCGTGAGTAAAGCATGACTTGATGCTTCACACACAAAACCGTGAAACATTTATTACACCCTTTACTCTAAAAAAAAAAGGGATAGGGGCATTCGTATATTTATCTCATAAATAAGTACAGGGTTTCTGTTCATTCAGTAACGTTTAGTACTATTTTGTTAGGAACTAGAAGTTTGAATTTTAGAAAGTAAGCAAGAAAAATGAAATTTTGAAAATTTAGGTGAAAGGATGGAAGACTATTAAAACGAGAATCCATGGAAAAGCTACTTCAAAAATAAGAACACGTTAAGTACGTTGACCCCTATTTGTAATAATATATAACAAAACATTTTTTTGGTATAATCATTATGACTTTTATTTAAAATATATATATTTATACTGTCAGTTTGGGTTCATTTCACGGAATTACCTTCCGTGGCAAGCATCCACCTGCTCGCTTAACAAGTGCAAGTTTTTCCCTTAGTGTCACTATTTTAACCAAACGTTTGCAAGATGGATAAAAATAAGAAGCAGTGGCCTGTTGAAAAAGAGCAGCTCGTAATTTTATGCCTAGTTTGAATCTCCCCCATCCCCAGCAAACTTGTTCTATTTTTTTTCAAACGAGAAACTAAGCTTTGTAAAAGAATACATCCCCAACACAATTGGTGAGGCTTGGCAGACATTGACATAATACATAGTTTGTTCAAGGTAGCTGTTCTGTATGCACAAAGAAAAGTAAATCTAAGGGAACAAAACCTAAGTATAAACCCGATAAATTTGTTATCGCTATTCACCACCGCAAGAACAGCAAAGGCGGAGCTCAAGGATTTTTACTGACAGCAATGAAAAGAAGCTTCTGGCAGCCACTATACAATCCATATAAGACCCTGGAGCACACTTCTGACCAGTTCGAATTAGTTAGGGTCGGTTTGAGGGGTTTGAGAGATATATATAAAGAGTCGGTTTGAGAGATTTATATAGTATTTTTTTTTTCAGTATGAAAACATGGAAGACTATAAGACGTCCATAAGAAAAATAGAATGTCATATTCAAAAGAAAAAGAAAAAAAGAAATCTGATCCCTCTACCAAAAATGCTGCTCTTACAATATCACCTGCTACTCGGAGTTTTTAATCTGAGAAATTTATATTAAGTTTCATATGCGTCAAAAGGTAGACGTCATCTATTCAGAAGTCTTTGTTAAATAACATTTTAGATTTTACTATGAATGAGCTAATGTTTGCATATACTGAAAAAGTCATCATCTGAAGAATTGCCAATATACTACGTAACAAACAAATGACTATCAAAAGAAAAAAAAAAGAAAAAAAAAGGAAAATTATATAGGACAAGTGGCAAGGAGTGCGCGAGAGAATTTTTACTGATGGGTTCACGAGGATACACAGAGACATGCTTTTATACACACTGGCTATTTTTAGTTTTAATGCTGAAACAAATTAATTTTCAATATTTTAAATATTTGGCGACGAAGGGTGAAAAGGAAAAGAAAAACAATTTGTCATACGAAGGGCTGGTAAATATCAGTAGAGGTCTTACAGGTGTTTCTTATGTTTTGCCCATGTTATTAAGTCAACTTGATGGATATGATATACCCAGTTATTACTGAATAAATAAAAAAATAAATACGTTATTTAATGAAAAATTCTGTGTAATGCGCTTGTTCTTATATTATTAATGTCCCGCGGTTCACACCAAACCTTTAATCAAACTCGCTTAGCAGCTGACTAAAAAAAGTTTAAACCTTGTATAAACTAAAGTACCTCAAAAAGGTAGTTTTAATCCTGTTTAAAAATGGCAGCCAAACAAGGAAAGTCGTGAGACAGAGAAAGTGATGACTAAACAAGGTTAGTTGGTGTGAACCGGGTATTAAGCTCTACTTTGAAGGATGACTTCAATTCGATATTTCGCCCACATACATATTTATGTTATATGTTATTAAATGTCATTTTCCTTCTAGGTGCTGATTTAAAGAAACGGTGGGCGCAGTACACGTTCCACAGGCCGTGTAGAGTTTATGAGAAAATCAAAGCTCATAGTTCGATAGAATATCTAGCGAAGCTCAACCAGGCATGATTGACATCTCAGTGGAGAACAAAACATCAATATGTACAGAATTTGAACCTTATTTTCTTGAAAACCCACCAAACTATGGCATATTTTTATTAGTTATTTTTGTCTTCAACATCGTCGTGGCTATCTTCGCGACGGTGAGTAACGCAGTGGTAATCTACACTATCCTGAAGACGCCGTCTCTACGAACACCTTCAAACACACTTATCCTCGGTCTTGCCTTGTCTGATCTTTGCGCAAGTGTTTTCTCGCAGCCCTGCTTATGTGTATCGATAGTTGCTGAGTATATGGTGGATAAACCAGTTTTTTGTGTCGTTGGGATAATGTTCCCAGGCCCGTAGCTAGGACTTTTGTTGGGGGGTGCTAATTTACAAAAAGTGGACCAACCATATACTTTATTTTTTAAAAGTCCCATAGGACGCATAGGTATAGATAAACTATTAAAGTAAAATTAATTTTTTTACTTAGTTTTACGTGAAAATATCATACCAGCCAAAATCTTACTTGCTTAAAAAGCGGACCTTTAGCTCGCGTGGGGGGTGCGAACGCACCCCCTACACCCCCCTAGCTACGGGCCTGGTTCCAGTTCAGTGCTTGGATGCTAACTTCTATTTCTTTCTTCACTTTGACGGTGGTCGCTGCTGACCGCTCCATGGCTGTACACTTCAACCTGAGATACCCAGAACTTATAACAGTTCAAAGATATGTCCTCGTTCTAATCTTCATGTGGATCTTTGGTATTCTTTTAAGCATTTCCAAAATGTTGTTTTTCATCAAAGCCATAATATACTTGGGGGTTGCGATTTTTTCAGTTTCAGTTTTTCTAAACTTATTTTTTATTTGGAAAATCTCTCAAGTGATCCGCAAGCATTCCCAACAGATACATGCCCAGCAGCAATCACTACAACAGTCTATAAACATGCCCAGATACAAGAAATCTGTCAACACTTTGTTCTATGTGATCGGATCATTTTTATTTTCCTATGTGACAATGGGGCTTGCTTTTTTCTCCTTTTTGGTAGTGGGATATATGTCTCTTGAGGTGCGTATTATGTTTAAAGTGGCCAATACGCTTGTACTGTGCAATGGGCTACTCAATCCAATTATCTATTGTTGGCGAATCGAAGACATACGTAAGGCAGCGCTTCAACTTGTACGTGGGAGAGAAAATGATGTCAGTCAACTTACGTAAAGTACTATAATTACTGGCAATATACAGTTAATAAAACCACTGGCCACCAGTAAAAACAAAAATGTCATGATGGATGATTAGAAAATGATAAAAGTACTAATTTTGAAATATTTCGTATTATAATCTGGTGGATTATTATAATACAATTGTTATAATAATTTCAAAACATCATGAATAATTAATGAGCATTTAGACCAATCAGGTCCTTCAGTTCCATCACGTGCATGGATCTTTACTCCTGATAATAGTTCAACATGAATATCTTTATATAAAGATTTTGAAAATGTATAAATGACCAAAAGAGCACAAGAGCATGGCACGAATAAGGACTCTGAATGCTCATCAATTATTCATGACTTTTTGAAGCCGTTCAATAAACTAACGGATTGTGTTTTATCGGGTCTAAAACCTGATAAAACTTCCTGCTCACTTATTAAACTATCCAAAACAACAAAAAAAATATTCTAATTTGCATCAGTTTGTCAAAAAAAAAAAAAAAAACCTGTTTTCTCTTTGCTGATGAAGTCCTCATTGTTTGATATTGCTTTGAATCCATCATGATCGTCCTGTAAGTTAAATAATGATCTGAATACAGGGCTGTCAACTCTCCCGGATAAACCGGGAGTCTCCAGATTTTGGACCGTATCTCCCGGTCTCCAGATTAGAGTCTCAAATCTCCCGGATAATCCCCGAAGCTGACCATTTCTTGTGAGACTAGACTTTCACAACCATAAAATTCCGATTATTTTGTGTTGTTTGTGTTATTTTAAATCGCTTACAAAATCAAAACGTTCCTCATAAACTTTTTTTGCAAGCAGGCCATTGTAATATAAGCGATAATCTGATTAGTCAGAAATAAACCAATCACATCAAATGTTACAAAGCGAAAGATGTCTTTTCGCGCGCTTTTTGACGCGATGTGACGTGTGTCCCTTCCCTATCAATTCTCCAGATTTGAATATCTCGGGGGTTGACAGCCCTGTGAATATAATGTCATTAGTAAATGCATGGTTAATATTAACTATGGTAAATGGTACGTGTGATAAGTGGTTAATGAAAATGAATATCACTAAATGTGAATCAATGACATTTTCAGTAAATAGCTATTTTTTTAGCTACCTTTAAAACATATATTGTGTGGCTCTCGCCATTCCGAGGTGAAGGGAAAAATGTTTCAAGCTGTCATTGCAGTATTTCGTCCCCTATAAGACAGCCCAACAATTGACACTACTGCAACACCTACTTAACCATTTTCACCCTCAACCTCGGAATGGGCTCCCTGTGTTATTGTATCCGCATCTTATGGGTGGACAAGAGAGGAACGCTAGCGAGAATGCTACTATTCCAATCACTCATGCATCTTTTATTTCAATCTCGTACCCAGATCCTGCGTTTCTTCTGGCCTGCAGTGAAAAAAAATCCATTTTTGGCGCATGCGCAATTTTCCGGCATGAAGTTTTATTATATTTCAAAATATAATCAATGAAAATCATGCTTTCAAACAGAGTTCTGTGTTTACTTCCGATCAAAATAAAAACTATAAATCGGGAACCTTTTCTTTATTATTAGAAATCCTGGACTCAAAAAATGGAATATGCCAGAGGCCAATTAATCTCGTGCCCAGAGGCCTCGTTCTTCGCCGCAGGTCAGAAGAAACGCAGGATCTGGGTACGAGATTACTTTTATTTGAACGCAGACAAGCGCAGACTAAATTAATACATGTGCATTGGAAGATGTTAAGAGTGGGTAGTCTGAAGTGTTCTAATAACTTTCATAGGATATTTCGGACGGCAAAATGCACGTACCATGCTGGTGGTGGTTGTTATGGATATCGTCCGAAAAAGAAAATTGTGTTTGGAGGTAAGATCGAAGATGATTAAGCTTTATTATATTCCCCTAGCTTAAAATTATAAAACGAAGTGTGCTAGAAATGAAATAACACGTTTTTGTGTTCCACTTTTCTCATTTATTTGAACGACCTTTTTATCGAGATAGATTAATTTGAATTTCATATTCAATCCTCGATTAATTAGAGGGTTTTTTTTGACAATGTTGGTCAAATATGTTGGTGATACTAGGTCTAGTACAGTGGTACATGTGTCTTTTTTAAGAGAGCGGACACCTTGACCTTGTCTGGCTTCGATCCACTCATAATCAATGGAGGGTGGCCGCTTAAGATTTTGCTTTTTTCGCCAACTATTGAGTAATAGTTAACCTTCAATACTGATTCAATTAAATTTTAAAAATTGGCAGAGTAGAATGAACCTCAATGTGCAAAGCTCAGATCAAATTCTTGTGCATGTTATGCGTTATAACTGTCATGTTGGTTGAGGATATCAGAACATTTCTCTCTTGTCGGATTCACGGGTAGCCCATTGGCACACTTTTAGTTTTGATTTACTAAGAATGTACAGTACATGTATTTGACTAACATTATAAATATGCACATTTACTTAAAAATATAACTCAAAAATCGTAAAAATAAATGTTCCTACTTGTATCTTACGTTTTTCTTTGGATCCATCTCTTTGGATCAGCTGTAAAGTTTCAGTTCATTTACATCAACATTGAGTGAGTATTGTAGGGAAGTACACTCAAAATTGAAGAATCGTTGTCGGGTTCAGAAACATAGAACTTTCAGTATGAGACCGAAATGGCACATGGGAAGTACGTTAATTAGATGCATGTGTGACCAGCAACCCGTGGCATCATCCACTGTTTTTAATAGTAACGCGTTTGGCATTCTAAACTGACTGCATGGACAGTGCAAATGAATAAATTATAATATAATTATGTCATTTCCCATGTGCCATTTGTCTCAGCTTTCATGTTCTATGTTTCTGAACCTGACAACAATTCTTCAATTGAGTGTATCCCACCTACTAAAAAAATGTAGCACACATCCCTGAAGAACCCTCAGTCAATGCTTTGCTTGATCTAGTTCAGTCAAATTAATACTCATCACTAAAAAATTCCTTCACTGGACTTCAATACGCCTCTTAGCATAACCACACAATCCAGCTCCCTTGAACTCTAGGCAATGCTTTCAGCCTCAAAACCATTTTTTCTTTCAATTATCTAATTACATCTGAAATCAGATTTCAGCAGCATTAATTGACATGGTTGGGTTTCCTGTACAGTATATATTTTTTACAATTTTGAATTATTGGCAAACATAAATTATGGGAAACGTCAGAAAATTATCATAAAACGCATCAGACATTTAATGAAATAACACTCATACTGTATTTCATGAAGTTTCTGAACAAAGTTTATTTTGACATGTATCATTTTATTTTAAAAATATTTACATCTTCTATCACAGGGGGTATTGTGAGCCCACAATACATAGAGGTTATCAGTCGGCTAAACATCAGTGATACGGCTGTGTGTAAATGTATTTTTACAAGTTACAGAGTATTTTGTATTTTAAAATACAAGTAACAAGTAAAAATGCACAACCGTATCATAGATGCTGAGCCAATATTGATAAGTTGTTTATCATTGAATTCTGTGAAGAAACGCTCCATCTCTCTCTAAACTCTATTGTACCTTATCAGTAGCAGATGATCAGTGCTGATACAGTCTCATATCTCATGTATGATCTTTTCCCGTATCATGCACGTTCTTTGCAGAATTAAATGATAAAGGTTTATATTCATTATTTTGGTGGCTCTCTCCCAATCAAACTTATAATACAACATATCTTAGTATAATTTTAGATTGTGGTTGGTTGAGCATGACTGATTAATTATGGGTGATCATAAGATGATATTCACTGGTTAAAGTGGGCAACATATTATAACTAAATGGGAAGCAATGATATATTTTCCTGAATTTCCTGACTTTTTCTATTATGTTTAATTCTAAAATTATAGTAATATTCACTGATATCCACTTAGTCTTCAGTGATAAAATATTAATTACATATTGTATAATTATTTGTAACAGATGATGTAGATATAATACACAACAGAATCAAGTATTCCAATCTCTTCAGGCTAATCACAGCATACAGAAAACATGGTCACCAAAAGGCCAACATTAATCCTCTTGATACAGTAGCGAGAAGAAATAATGAAAGGTAATTTTAAATTCAATGATAGTAAATAAGTTGGTTACTTGACATAATGTTCTACAAGCATTTGGGCACAATATTAACCCCTGGGCATTTTTGAGGTTTTTTTTAATGGTTTTAATCTGGATCTAGAAATTCTTTAAGTCAGTATTGTAGCAAAACCATTTAGAGTCAGACTGTCAGTGTGTTTCATGCAAATGAGGAATGATATTCATTTTAGTGGATTGCAGTGATTTTCATTTGAAGAAATGTTCCATTGTATGAACACTATTTAGAGAATTGTATTGCGTATAAAGGTCACATGTGATGTGTATGGTCGCTCCAGTCGGGTAAATTAATTCATGTTTTTTTTCAATGTACTGTAATAACCTTTACAAACCTTTTCAAAAGTAGGTTTCAATCTTGAAATAATTATGTGGCAACATACAAATGCACTGTACATACATTATTGTATCAACGGCAGATTTTTTTTTTTTTTTTTTTACATTACTAATAATCTACATAATCAAAATCATAATCATTTATTTATTTATATTTATTTATTTATTTATTTTGTTTTTTCTAAGCTCACACAATTTTGTTTGATTTATGCGTGCGCACATATGCCATGGTTTGATTGCATTTTCTTTGTCAATTGTAACGTTTTTCATTTCCCTGAGGATGGCCAAGTAAGCCGAAAGCTCGGATTATAGTTATTAAAATTTATGGTTGATAAAACAAACTATTATGAATTTAACAACAACCAACAAGGAACTATTTGATCTACAGACCTGTTATCATAATTCAGTCTTTTTTATTTTCATATTTATTTTATTAAAGGAGTGAACTGACAGAGCTTAACCTAGATCATTATGGACTTCACAATGTTAACCTCAACTCAAAAGTGAAGTTAACTGGTAAGATTCAACTGTACTAAGCATGTGTGGATAGTATTATTGCAGTAGTATTAATTAACCTGCTAATTATACAGCTTCTCATTCATCCCATATAGGTAACTGTCCAATTATTTTCTTAATTGGACAGGTCTTGTTGACATGGAATTAATCAGGCAGCTATATAATTAATAGGTAATGGGATTTCATGCTTTCCAATCAAGAAATAATTAGACTCAAAAAATTCCTCTGACTGCCAAATTGGACTCGTAGTAATTGAGTAGCCATTGTAACCATAGTAGCCATAACAATAGTAGTCAAAGTAGTTGTAGTAGTCATAGTAGCCATTAGTAGCAGTGGTATAGTACAGTAGGTGTATTACTATGACTACTACAACATATATAAATTATAACATAACCCTCATGGGCTATATTCACTCATGCATAGGCCATTTGGGCTGCAGGTCTAATTGTTGATTATGAGTTTCAATATATTGTTTTATGGACAATTTCATGATTGTGTTTATTTTATAATTATTTGGAAAATGTCTAGTTATAAATTACCACTGTTTTCATAATTGTTACTCAATGATCATGACAACAGTCACATTAAATCAGGCAATACTATCAATCAAAGTATGTAAACATACTCCTGGGGGGGGACTCCGGGAAAAAAGTATTGGGAATGCTCGTCGTATCTTTTAGGGGTAAAAATTCGCGATTTAGTATCTTTTAGGGTGTTAAATGCGAATTTTTGAAAGTAAGCATTTTCCGGTATCTCTTAGGGTGTCCGAAAAGGAGGGAAGCGCACACTGTTATGGCTTATCCTAGGCGCTTTTTATATTGATTTAATATTATTTGTTGTGGTATCTCTTAGGGGTTAAAAATCATTCAGCCACGCCCATTTTTAAACACTTCCGGTATCTTTTAGAACTTCCGTTCTTTTTGAAAATTTCCGACGAGCATCCCCGATACTTTTTTCCCGGAGGCCCCCCCCCGGGAGCATGTAATATAATTTATTTTACTGATATAAATCTATTGATTGATTTCTCTGTTGCGATGTCTGGCATAATGTAGATCTCCACTATCCCATTTCCTCCTTTAATTTCCACTTCACATACTCTTGTCTTTCCCTGAGTGCATGTATGTGGAAGGAGCTCTACCTCATAATCAAAGTGGGTATCAAGAATATGTTTGTTTGATCTCAGGTCTTATGCATGTTGATAAGCTAGAGGAGGCAACTTATGGAGATATATTAAAGCACTTGGAAAAAGCCTATTGTGGTGCATTATCAGTGGAATTAAGTCATTTACAGGTATGAATGTAGTTATCCTTGCCTAAGGCCAAAAGTTTATAATATTATGTAATGAATATTAATTTTGTACATGTCTTTACTGATCATGCAGAAACTATATACAGTATGTCTGTGGGGTGTCACCCCATGCTTGCTCTGTGAATTGCAATTTTGCTTTTTTGTCCTTTTTTCACAATCTGATAGATTTGTTGATCATCACAGTGAATGAGCGATCTAAGCGAACGCTGTAAAGAAAGACTTGAAAAAATGATTTCAAGCTTCAACTGGAATCGAACCCATGACCTTCGTGATACCGGTGCGATGCTCTACCAACTGAGCTATGAAGCCAATCCTGTTGGCGAGCGGTCATTTTTGTTGGGTTCATCAAGCCACTGTACTATATGTAATAAGTGTGAATATTGAATGGGTAGAACTGTGGTGAAATAATGATAGATGTGTTGATCGTCATCATTATTACAATCTGCTTGTTTGTCGTAACTTTTTCCTTTTTCCCAAAAGCACCTGTTCAAAATTCCTTCACTTCCTCTGGCTTACAGAATTCCTCAATTTGCTTATTTTCTTTAGCTCCCTGTATACATTTGCATCCTCCTTCAACATTTTATTCTCAAAAAATATTGCTTGTTTGTTTATTCAAATCCCCTCATTTTGTGGGCTTATATCTACATATTTCCTGTTGTCTGTATTTGATTGTACTGTATCTGCCTGCCCTGCCTGCCCTGCCTGCCCTGCCTGCCCTGCCTGCCAGCCTGCCTTCCTAGATATCTGTTTGGGAAATTTTATGCTAAAATTGATTTACATTTTATTGACTCATTTGTTTTCAGAATGAAAAAGAGAAGCTATGGTTTGCAGACCTCGTTGAACAGAGCATACACTGGGGTCTAGACAGTGTGAGACAAAAACATTTAGCAAAACTTTTATTAAGATCCCAGGTATGTACAAGGTAACAATACAGACATATAGACATTCCTGAGGTAACCTAGATATTGACTTGCATGAGCGAAAATGCTACAGCCTTTAAAAGCATTTTCATCTTTTTGATCAACAGGTATTTGATAATTTTCTCGCTAAGAAGTTTCCAACGGTTAAAAGATATGGTGGTGAGGGAGCGGAAAGCATGATGGTATTTTTTGATGAGCTCTTTCTACAAGCTTCAAAGGGTAAGTTTGATTTACATTAAATAAATTCAGGCATAAAATATTTAGTAATAAATTTGAAGGGTATTTTGCTCCATTTTTAAATTTTTTTATTAGGTATTGCTAATAAAGCTATCAAAAAGTGAGGGATGTTAATGGTTGAATATTTTCACTCAATAATATGATATGTCCTAAGAAATTTCTGCAATTTGACTGCTGATTTCTGCAATCTGACTGGCTGAAGTGTATTTTAACATATTTTGAACCACATGTGAAATTACATTTACATGGTAACCAATTAAACAATGAGGATCAGATAGCAGAAAGATTTCCCCAAATAAGCTAAATAGTAAATATTAAGGTCTTAACTAACAAAAAATGATATTCTGACCTTTACTAATATGCACTAGGTGCATGGCCAACAACCAAAGGCAACCTAGTAAATGATATTACGGGGTCTTTTTCTGTTTTGAGATTACGTTTAGGCTATTATTTATTAATAACAGTTATCAATATATTTACATTCAGGTGGTCTTGAACAAGTTGTTATAGGAATGCCGCACAGAGGAAGATTAAATTTATTAACTGGTTTAATGAAATATCCAATTCGTATGATGTTCTCAAAGGTACTTAGAAAAATAATATTTAACGAATGAATTCTAAACTAACGCTAGAGTAAACTGCACAACAAGTATTGCAAACAACATCCTGACTTTTGAGTAGAATGTTGACAGGGCACATATTTTTAATATATTTTATTTATTAATAGTTATTTGTAAATATTTGTTTCAGATGATGGGAAATTCAGAGCTCCCTTCTAGCAGTAAAGCCTCTGGGGATGTCCTTTCTCATTTGTGTAAGACCTCTTACATATATAATCAGTAATTCTTCGATTGCACGTTGCGATTTCCCATTTGCATCTATTGTTAATGGCAAAAATGTTAGCCATGTTTTTGTCCTTTGACTCTCTTGGGATACTTGCAACCCATCAATAATTAATTGCAAAGTCATACTAAGTCAGGGTCAAAAACATAGAACATAAAAGCTGGGACCGCTATGGTACATGGGAAGTTATGTTAATTAGATGTATCAAGTGATTCAACTTATGGCCAAAATGAAAGCAGAAAGCAGCTTTTATCACGTTTCATATCGACTGTGTTTCTCAAATGAATACATCAGAGGATAATCATGTCATTTCCCAGAATACCTTCCAATCTCAGCTTCAATGTAATGCATGTTTTGGAACCGACAATCTTCTTCGACTGAAATTGATATTCGTTCGTCCGTCCGTCCGTTCCCTTCGTTCGTTCGTTCAATATGCTTACGTATTTTTTAAATTGAATCTTGCAGCAAATTCTGTTGATATTGAACTTGGTGAAGAATCTCCCTTGCACGTGACGATGATACCTAATCCCTCTCATTTAGAAGCTAATAGCCCAGTTGCTATAGGTAAAGCCAGGGGTAAACAAATGACATACAAATGGAACGACTATAGTGAGGATGACACTAACCCCAAGGTACATAGTTCTTATTGGTACAATTTTTTTTATGAGGCAAAGCAACACACAAAAAAATCAATAGTATTCACCATTTTCCATACATTGGTTCACTGGTTCACAAAGCGCTCAAGCGACGTGCCAGGGTATTTTCAAAGGATTATTCAAATTTGAACCTTGCAACCTCGACTGAATGCTTTGTGTTTGAAGAGTGAACCGATGTATGGAAAATGGTGAGTTTTTGCTTCTTCTGTCTGCCAAAGAAATCAAATATAAATCACTCTTTTTTAAGATGCCGGTTACTTTATTAGCCATTCTAGAGTTGTGGAAATGCGTTGCATTGTGGGGCTGTTTGAGTTACTCTTTGTCACTCAGTTGATATTTTATGCATCAAAAAACGAAATAAATTTGAAAATGAACACGACAATTAAAGTTTCCTAATCACTTTCCTGTCACTTATCACTATCAGCAAGCAAAAAAGATTTCGTATGAGTAATAAAACGTCCCCTTAAAAATGTCGCAAGGCGTTTTCCAGCTCCGGAACGGGTAATAGGCAGTGTATGAAGCGCACATCTGCTGTAGTACTAATATTCGAGTGGAAATTCTTCTTTTGAAGGTTCTTTGTGTACTAGCCCATGGAGACGCATCATTTATTGGGCAGGTAGGTTATCATTAATCCCGTGTTACAGTTATACATGATTATTATTTTGCCTCAGCGATTGCAACCAGCCACATCTCAAAAAATAAAATAAATAAATAAAAATTCAATGTATTTAAAGACAATTTCTATAACTATTTTGATAATCTATAGGCATTCATCTTTCATTTAGCCTTCTTTTATCTCGAGTCAAATCAAAGACTAAATAAAATAAACAACTTACGAGGAGATGAAAGATAAACTAATTACAACAGAAGGGGCTTTTCTACTGATCATTCCTTGCTATATTTGACGCAGACTGTCTTTAATGTTCTGCAGCCTTCATTCTTGTAAGTACTTGCAGAGCCTTTTGGTGGTAGCTCCTTAAGCCACGCCTGAAAGCTGAAACATCCAGGCTCTCGAATCATAAGTACAGTGTACCGTGTGTGTACTTTGTACATAAAACTACCCAATCCAGTTGTCCATAAACTTAACCTCAACCATTCAAATTTGATATTGTAATGAAATTAGTTGATATGTAGCCACATGCACACAATTGATAGTTTTCACCGCCGCCATTTTGGAGGAATTTAACGAAAGATTCGTCATTAGTCTCTTTTGTTATATCATCCAACATGGCCGCCGTGTCTTTTGTTATTTAATTCTCTTGGGAATGGTTAAAAACCATCAATATTTTTCCCCCGCGATAGGGTATTATATCAGAAACTCTTGGAATGTCAAGTTTACCTCATTATGATATTGGTGGCACTATTCATTTCATTGTTAACAACCAATTAGGATTCACAACACCCTCGCACCGAGGAAGGTCAGTAATGCAATACAAAATACCATTTTTCATTTTTAGCTTTCCAGTGACTGTTAAGCCCCAGGAGATTTCATTTCATTTTAATCCTTGCACTTTGGTTTTCCCTTAGGTCCTCAATCGGAGCTCAAACATTTATTATATATTATGTCTTCTTCGCTAACAATGTATCACTTTCGTGTTTAAATTTTTTGTGGGGTTTCATGACAATCGTTGTACATAAGTATCATATTCTATTTAGTCATGATAACACATAACTTGATAAATCATTAAATCAGAGTGCTACGAAAGAAATTGCACAGATTTGGCCAAATGAGTGAGCTCAGTATAGATCGTAAACCGACAAAACTCATTGCTAATTTGTACAATTTTGTTAGGCTAGTACTTTTTTACGCATATATTGTATGCACTCTAATTAGATTTATTATATAGTTAGGTTAGTACGCGCGCGCCGATTGGTTAAAAACTGTGCTTTATTAGTGAAAGGATGACAGTGCTGACGCCATCCGCGCCCTCAAAATGCTGCTAGATCCTGCGACCGTCTTTCCTTCTGCGTAAATAAATTTAATACCAAAATAAAATTAGTAGCTATATGATCAAACGAATAAAACAGCTTTTTCCGTGCTCCATTTAGTAATAAAGCACTTAGGAAGCACCGTGAGCACTCAATAAGAGTAAGAAGCACTCGCCTGTGGCTCATGTTTCTTCTCACACTTTTTTTTTTTTTTTTTTGCTTACGTCACTTCCTGCGTGCTTTATTACTGAACGGAGCACGGTAAAAGCCATTTCATTTGCTAATCCCTAGTTATTTTTATTCAGGTCCTCGTTGTATGCTAGTGACATTGCAAAGATGATTGATTGTCCTGTGTTACATGTCAATGGTGATTACCCAGAGGTTTGATATTTTGCTTCAAATTTTTTTTTCGCTGAAGATAAGATGAAGTATTTTATAAAAAATTCTATTATAAAATAAAAAGAGATCTAAGGCTGCGTTTGCAAGGTATCGAAAAAAATTCAAAAATTCAAAATCTTCACCTGCCCAGTACATACTATTTACACGGAACCGTCGCTATAGAGCGTTTTCACGTGACGTCACATCGGCCATGTTGGTGTACCAAAACAATACATTGTCTAGTCTCCGGGAATTGAACTCTATATTTTTATACAAAAAATTGTGCAGCAAGTTTATGTTGTTTGGTACACCAATATGGAAAATGGCTGCATTATCACGTGTGTGAAAAAGCTGTATTTGCTTATGTTTTTAATCTGGTCATGTGCAAAAAATGCTGCCTTCGGCTGACCGTACGAAAAGTTATCTGTATTCAGTGTGAAGTACTCAATATATTTCTAAATAGCTATACGCCTTTAAATAATAAATAAATAATAGACTTTATTTCTATAGCGCACTTGTCCCATGCTCAAGGCGCTTAGTAGGTTAATTAAATACAGAAAGAGTCAAACGAGCAGCTTCCGAAGGCCCTCACACTTTATTATTACTATTAATCCTCTTGGTTATTTGATTCAGATGCAAGATTAATTACATTTTTTTTATTTGTGTACAGGAAGTTGCAAGAGCTTGTAAACTCGCTTTGGAATATAAGTTGGAATTTAAAAAAGATGTTCTGATAGACCTAAACTGCTACAGACGATGGTTTGTAAATAACTTTATTGTTGGATTATTTGTCGTAGCATTCATCGCTCAGCTGGTACATTAAGTCAT